GGAGGTAGGGAGGGGGAGGAGAGGGAGAAGAAAGTGATAGATAAGGTGCAAATATGGTGTATGGAGAGAAGAAGAGCCAATAATTGTTTTTGGGAGATGAATTGATGTGAACATTTAATAATACAATATGTAATAGCAATAGCAGTAGACTTAACAGTGTACATGTGATTATATGTTATGAAAATGAAAAAATAAAAACTTTAAATGATAAAAAAGCACTCAAACTAAAGATAAAACCACTTCTCTTGGGACAAGTTGTTATCTGAAAGCAACTATGAACCAGTCTTTAATACTGCAACCAATTGTACTGAGTCTCAATATTCTACCCTGTCATATTTTGGATAATTACAGCCAACTGAGGAATATCCATTTTTTAAAAAGTTTGCTACTACACTTACGACATTAATATTGTCCAAAGCCATAGTTTGAATTGATTACACACTCAGGTCAGTCTTCATATAAATATATATCTGAAATGAGCTGTGGCTTTTCTTCTTTTTAGGGAAAGAGCAAGGAAGGGATGATTGTAATAGAAATTTGCATCCCATAATGTAGTTAGCATAGCTATTGAACAACATAGAAGAGAAAGAGACAAATTTCAAATTTGAAAAAAAAAAAGGTGACAAAATATTTTTGTACCAATCTTAGATTTTTTTTTTTTTTAAAAAGAGCTGGAATATTCAGAATAGATAGAAAGGAAAAGAAAAAGGATGGAATGGAATGGGATGGAATGGAATAGAATAGTTCTTTATTGACCAAATGGGATTGGACACACAAGGAATTTGTCTCCGGTGCATAATCTCTCAGTGTACACACAAACAGTAAAGTAATATAATCATAACAATGATACCAATAAGAGGGGATAGTAGAGAAGATCAGAAGGATGATATTATTATATTACATAATAATACAGCCATACTACATGGGTAAATATCCTTAGACATAAGACAGTATCTTGGGAATTAGGTATTTAGCAGAGTGATGGCACGAAGAATAAAACTGTGTATAAATTATTTTTTAAATTAGGACATAGGGCACAATACTGATCACTGATTATTACTTAATTAATGTTTGGGAGTTTGAAGCAATAGGTTATTAAAGTTCTTGCTGACAATTTAAATACTGAAGATACTTATTGTAAGCTAGGAGACACATGTTCATTTATGACACACATTTTAAATTGCTCCATCGTCCAAATTGATGCCATGATTATTGAGAACTATCAGCATTTAAAAGGGCTTAAAATGCATTTCAATAGTTTAAGTAGATAGGCAGACTGTAGCAGACTGAATGTGTGTTAAATAAATAAAAGAGTATACTTAGAAATCCAATGGCAAAAAACCCCCCAGAGAATTGTACTGATGTCTTTGCTAGAGAAATGGAAACCACTGGAGGTGCTGATCCTGCCTGGCTCATCCCAAAATAAGTCGGAAGATTTGGCATTGTTTCCAAATAGGAAGGAAACATGGGGATAGAGGATAAAGGAAAACTCTCCTGGTCAAATTTTGTCACTGTGTTCAGCAATGGCCTAAAACTGACCTTCCTGAAAATATATGATTCTTTGATAATTTAATAATATTTTTCTGATCATACGTATCCAGGTTTACAAACAGGAAATAAGACTCTTTAAATAGCACAGGGCTAAACCTCCCTTAATTTCTGGTGAATTTTCTATATTTTTTGTGAATTGACAACTTGTAGCTGGCACTATTTGTTCTAAAAACCTCCTTTAAGTTGAGCTTGACTCGATAGTTTCATGTTCAGATAGTATTCTTAGCAACAAGCCCAATTACCTTCATCCAGGATGCGGCTTTGACTTGTCAATGTAGCTGACAGTCTCCTATTTAAAGACTAGCCAGTCCCAACTCCATTTAGTTTTCCAACCCAGACGAAGTCTGCCAGATGCTATTACTATTTATGGCCTCTATAATGCATGTTGCTAACTCATTCAAAGGGAGAGGATTGCTCCAGTATTATTTTAGAAAAGCCGACCTGATTGTTATGGCACTTCTTCTTCTAGGCCTCCTTTCTTCTTCCGAATTAACTCTAGGGAATAACATCATGTTGGACTTTCCAGACAGATTATGTGAAACCATAGCTCAATGTCATTCCCAATAGCCAAGCTTATAATTAAAGGTCAAATAGTCACTTCATCTGCAATCAATCAATAGAAGAAGTTCTAATATCAAGAACCAATCAATCAATGGCAAATATACTAATAAAAGCCATGAATCAAATGCCTGTATTTCATGTATTGCATGTAAGGTGCATGTACTGTATGTTACAAAAAGTGGAAAGCAAAGCAAAATGAGAATAAATAAGATGGGGGAATCTCAGGAGTGGTACAACATTTATCTTCATTATTAGAGCTTATATCTCTAATTATGTAATAAAATTAAATAACAAATAAAAGTGATATCACAGGCAGCAGTTAGACAACCTCCTAAAAATCCATAGACTATTTCTGTTAATGGTATCAATCAAAATGGAATAAATAGATCAAATACAACTAGTTTCCTGTGGACCTGATACTCGCCAGACATTTTCAGAATTCGATTTCATAGTTGTCTGGAAATTCTGGGAGCTGAAGTCCCAAAACTTTATACCCCAGTATGGCAGGCAGCAAATTGAAGAAGATTGAACAATGTAAGAACTTCTGTAAAGGTTAAGCATGAAAAAGGAGAAGGGTAGAAACAGTTCTTGAGTCTAACACATTCAGTCCTTTGTGTCCTGAGCTCACATAGCTATAAAGTACAAATAAAATACTGCCTCCCACACCCCCAATCCACCAACATATGGGAGGGAACTGTGTTTGTCTCCATATGAAGCAAGAACTTTTCCATGGATCCAAGCAGAGGAAGTGGCAGATGGCCTCTTGAGCATTTTGCATATGGGAATTCATTGGTTTTAATACAGGGAAAGAGAACTGCCTTACAAGAGCCTTCTCTTGCTCCTCTTATTACCACTTCTAAAGCTTCAAAGCTGTCACTTTTCCTCCTCCTTTGCTGGTGCTGTGCTACAATCTCCAGGGAACTGAAACATGGCACCCTGCGGAGGCTTCACATGCCAGAATGTTAAAAATCAGTTTAAACTCCAAGTGAAAGAGCTTTTGTGGCAGGAAGCCCCTAAGTGCTCTTGTTTGCTTAGTGATGGTAGAGTTTTGAAGGCAGATAAAAACCTCTTCACAGAGAACTTAAAAGAAAGCGCTGAAGTTCACAGAGGACCTTAAATATTCAGATACAGGTATTAAATGGGATCGTGCTTGCATCTCCCCAAACCTGCTTAGGTAAATTATAATGGAGTATCTCAATATAAAAGAAAGACAGCATCCTAATTTCACTGGGATGAAATCTTCCGATCAGATTACAGATGTACTTCTATTATTCAAGAAAAATTTGGCTCGACACAAAAACTTCATTATAATGTCAGCCACCAAAAAAAAAAAAAAGGTTTCCTTGCTTGGTAATCTTTTGCTTTATTCAGGGTCAGATTTTATGGGAAAAGAGAAGGTGGTAGCTTATATGCAATTCTCCCAGCACTTTTCTGGCATTTTATTATGATATGAAATTTTAGGAAATACACCCCATCATTAGAGACATCTACATTTAAAAGCAAAGAACTTACCTATGCTTTCATAATCCACCCTAAAGTTTGAAGACTATGGCCTGCAGGAAAGTCTGATCAAAAGTATCTCTTTTACTTACAGAAAAATTTAGTTTAAAGTATCTCAGTGACTCATAATAGTTAGTCTTAATTTTTTTCAGATTCATATTGAAATCCAATATGCAAGTATTGGAGCCGATTTTGTTATTTTAACTCGTTCATAATTTTAATGAATTTCTCCTAGCCTTTCTATATAAAAATAAAATATTAAATTTATGAACAGGAAAAAGAATAAAAATGCCTTAAACCAGCAACCTTATCACTAATAAATTGCAACTCCTTATTCTGTTGCTGAACCTAAAACCATACAGGTAGAATAGACAGACAGACAGACACTGATAGATTCAATTATATCATGGCATATCTGTTTCCACATGCAAATAGATATGACAAACATGAATTCTATTTTGTTCTTTGCTAATAATATAAATTACAAGACTTAAATGGAACATACAGCACTGCCCCCTCCTACAAAATTGCAGTTGTGTTTTAACTAAACTTTATATCTACAAGAATAAGTACAAGGGTGGAATTCTGAATGACTAGAAGATCAATGTTCTCAGAATACTAATTAGTAATTGAATGAATGCACAGTTCTGAAATTTCTCAAAATAAATACCCTGTTTTTAATGAAACCATTATTCCAGCAAATGTTTTTTTTATATAGCAAATACTTTGTGCGTTACAGTTTTGAGCTATAATATTTTTGCTATTTAATTGTGTTGAAATTTCTCAAATAATAATAATTTGAAACAAATCAAACTGTATCAATACTGGATTACAGACATAGAATAAGAATATGAGAAACAAGGAAAAAGCAAAGAGCATTTTCCAAAGAAGGTACAGATTAATAGCACTGTAAACTAATTACTATACTAAACTCCCAAAGGAGAAAACCACATTGTCTTCCTCTTAGAAAACCTACATTTGCACCAGTGGTGGGTTCCTAGCGATTCGGTCAAACTGGTAGTAGTTTGGCAGCCTGGGTTGCTGGAATTGGCAGCAACCCAGGCGTGCCACGCCCGTGAACTGGTTCTCTTGGTGGCGCCATGTTTTTTGCTTTTGCGTATGCGCAGAGCAATTTTAGTTGTACTGTCCATGTGTGTGCAGCGCGCATGCAGTACGCCCCTGAGAAAACCGGCAGTAGTCTCTGCCAGAACCCACCCCATTTTTACACATTGCAGAAATTATACCAATATTAATGCTACATGTTTATATAAAGGTTTATATCTCACCAGATTTCTGAGTCAATAATAGTAGCATACATAAGCAGTTTTATAACAAAGTCCATGTAGGAGCAATGTAGTCAGACTGAATTGTTGAAAATAAATACTTACCTAAGGTTAGAGATTTGTGTGTGGAACAGAAAATAATAGCCACTGTGTCTGCTGGTGTAAAGCCAGAACTCTTTCTAGGAAAAAATGTGGGGGAAAAAATTAAAAATTCCACCAAATGTTTGCTAACATTTATTTTTAGAGACATTCTTGTTTTCAATTTTAATTCAGCTTTGCCAACTTTATTACACTCCCATATGCTTAGCATTTGCATTTTCAGATTTAAGCCAGACATGCACAACTTCCGCTTGCTGACTTGAAGTCTGTTGGAAGAAGGTGGTTATAAAGGGACGTGGGAGGCATATGAGAGAGAAGAGAAGAGAGAGAGAGAGAGAGAGAGGGAGGGAGGGAGGGAGGGAGGGGCAGGCAGGCAGGCAGGCAGAGATGGAGATGAATGGATGGATGGATAGATAGACAGATAGATAGATAGATAGAAAGATAGATGATAGATATAGAGATGGAGACAGGGAGTTGTATAAAAATAAAAAGAATTTCTTCGAGAGCCACCCTAGATTTTGTATACCAAGTCAAAAGTTGCAATCTGAAAATGAGCGTGGCCAAACTTTTTGGTAAAAGCTTTTGAGAATGAATTATATCCCATTTTCTCACCCCACTAAATTGACCCAAGATTTTGGTTCTATTCACTGTGGGCACACTTTAGAGACCAAAAATGTGGCATTGTGGGGAAAGGATCTCTACTTTAGCTAAATTATATGTATGCTGCTCCAGGCCTTTGTATGAGTGTGTGACCCCCCCAGGGACCTAAAGGCCACTTGAGCCTGGCCTAGTTTATCTCATTGCATCCTATATCAATCGGTTTTTCAGTTTGAAAAACAATACAAATGTATATCATCTAAAATTATTTTACGGATATTTAAATTAACAGAACAGTATATCACAATCACATTCTTTAAAAGTAAAAGGGAAATATATTTTGATTTTACTTGCAAGTGATCATAATTTTTATGTTTTACTAAAATAATACATTGGCAAAAAATGGCAATGGCTTTTCATTGGCTTGCCATAATACCAAATACATAAATTATTTTATATAAAGCCTAAATTTTATATTTCCCCATTTCTTCTTTTCAAAAAATATGTTGTCTTAGAACTAAAAACTGTATACATTCTTTGGCATTTTATTATGTCACACTAAATTGATTACCAAATTTGCTTTATTCTGATTGCTTATATCTTATTATTCTTTTTTTTCCTTGCAGCAAATTCAAAGATGAAATTCTCTTACAAAATCATTTTCTTCAAAGAGAAGCCATTAATCTTAACCAAGCATATTAATTGATATTTTCAATCAGCAATAGACTGTAGAAATTAAAAGTATAGGAAAAAGGTGGAAAATATAATAAGTTTTGAAAAGTCTTCATTGGATGCCTATTTTAAACTTAAAACAGTAAATGTAGTTTTAGAATTATACCATCCACCTGCTTTATCTTCTGGTTCTTCCTATTCTTTCAGTTCTGAGGGATGGAAATTTGAAGAATTTGCTGACTAACCTCTCACAAGAACAACAGCATTTATACCCAGGAGAATTTTAATTTCTGTAGGCTTAATCCAAACTAGGCAGGAAGCCAAATAAATTCACAATTTCTATATAAGCAGAACAATATTTCTACAATTCAATTTAAGGTTTGCCTAATATAATATTCACAATATAATATTCACACTTCTATCCTGAACTTGTTTCATCTAATTAGCCTGCAGTCAGTTTTTCCATCTGGGTAAAACTGAATTGTGTCTTCTTACTATTCATTTTTTATTGGAAAATATGGTTTCTGCCCAATTATTGGTTTTCTTAGCTTCTTAATAATTATTTTTTCAAGCTGACATGCATCTCATGAGAAAGTCATGCAAGATTCCTTTCCTGATACAATATCAGTTTTTGATCAGGGCACAATTTTGCTGATATAGTCAAATCTGGGAAGGACTTAGGCAACCATAGAAAACAAGTGTTCCTTTGGTGTCTTCTCTGTAGGGATATCTTAAACATGATAGTTTTTAGAGTGATTCTTAGGTTATATGTTTCAGTGTTCCCTTGCTGTAGCAGCAATATATGCATAGATGCCGAACAGGAAATATAAAAATCTTAAAGCAAATGACTCAGTATATTTTTCTCTGCAACCTTATTCAGGAAATATCCGGTACAAAGAACATAAAAAACTATAACTGATACTACTCAGTTATATTCCTGGTATCCTCATATGTGTATGATTTTGTATGTCTAGGTCATTGCAACAGAGACCCTTATAGATAAAGCTTTGGGGAGCTGACTAGCGAATAACAGAAAGCAAACCCTGTGTGTGTGTGTGTGTGTGTGTGTGTGTGTGTGTGTGTGTGTGTGTGTTCCAGCATTACTCTGGAACACTTCAAGCAATTTCAACCAAACTTGGTACAGAGATGACTTACTCTCTGGAAACAAATACTGTGAGGGTAAAACACATCTAACACCCCTCGGGGTGTGTGTTCTGTTAAGATACAGCCTGTTGTGCCTTAAAATGGCTTCTACTGTACAGCGCAGTGGAGTCGCCATGGTAACGGCTTCACAGTACTCCACAAGGGGGCTCCCTTTTGTAAGGGTGAAAATCCAACATTAAAAATTATGTTTGGTCTGGACATTTTCAACAAGACTTTGATTATTTTTGAGGACAAATGTATGGCTTCTGGGGGCATAGGGAAAACATTTGTAACTTCGAATAGTCACTCATGTCCTCATCACCTCTGGACTGGTTTACTGTAACACGCTCTACATGGGGCTGTCCCTGAAGAGTGTTCGAAAACTACAGTTGGTCCAGAACGCAGCCGCGCGAGCGATATGGGGTGTATCTAGGTACACCCATGTTACACCAATCCTCCACGAGCTGCACTGGCTCCCCATTGGTCTCCGGATGTGCTTCAAGGTGCTAGTCATTACTTTTAAAGCCCTACATGGTTTAGGACCTGGCTACCTGAGAGACCGCCTCCTGCAACTCACCTCCCAACGACCAACAAGATCGCACAGGCTGGGCTTCCTCCGGGTGTCGTCAACCGGACAATGCCAGTTGGCAGCTCCCTGGGGGAGGGCCTTCTCTGTT